CGTTGCGCAATAACAGCCAGAGCAAGAAGGTCCAAGAAAACACGAACATACAAAAAAAGGAAATAGGAAACAAAAATGTTAATTGGATCTAAATGAAGGCCCAGACAAACGTAAGCTGCCGAGAAAAGAGCCACACCCGAAGTCTTCCACTATGCAAAAGTTGACTTGCCTTGACATGAAGGTTACGTTTGGTAGGGAGCATTGAAAACGAGAGATTGAGATTGGGATTACAATTGAAAAAATCTATTAAGAGAGTGTTTAGTATAAGAGATTGTTTGATATATGGGATTAGCCAAAGCCATATATGTGGGATTGGAGAATACCATGGGGGAAGTGGTATTCCCCAATCCTACCTTTATGAGTTTGTCTAATCCCATATAACAAACAATTACTCATGCTAAATACTATTTTAATGATTTTTTTCAATTGCAATCCCAATCACAATCCCTCATTTTTAATGCTTCATACCAAACGGGACCGAAGAGTTAAGTTTATGGTGCAAAAGCCGACCAAGAAGCCAAGCATGTAAGACCCAATGTTCCCGTTTAGTATAAAACACTGAAAATAAGGGTAAAGATTATGATTGGACTTAAAAAAATATGTTAAAAGAGTATTTAGTTTGAGTAGTTATTTATTATTTGGGATTAAACAAATCTATATGTGTGGGATTTAGAAATACCATGAAAAGATGTGGTGTTTTCCAATCCCACTTACATGGGAATAAGTAACAAAAAATTATTCATACTAAACACTCTTTAATAATTTTTCTTAATTCTAATCATAATCCTTACCCATTATTTTCAATGCTTTATACCAAATATAACCACTGAAAAATGTCACCCCGAAGCACGAGGATAGCTGGATACTTCGTCCACATAAAAGTAAATCAGTAAGTCTCAAAGTTTTAAGGTAAGTGAAACAGCCAAAAAAAACGAAAAAACCAAAAACCAGAAGACAACAATCTTCCAAAGCCAATGAAGTTTTAGTTCTCTTCCCATGACGCCATAAGCACGGGCCAAATGTCCATTTAGAGAAGCCACACACAAACAAAAGAAAAAACTATTGAGAATGGGAGTATAAATTAAAACCCAACCATAAAGGTTACAAATCTATTAAACAACTCTTTAGCTCTTTCAAAGAAGCTCAGTTGCAGCAACATTTTCTAGATGTTGGCAAAAAATAAAGAAAACGTTTTCTAGATGAAATATGTTCTCATGAAGGAGGCTCCACAAACAACATCCTAGTTGAGCATCTTCAGATCATAAAGCTAGAGCTTTTTTATCCTCTAGATTTCTAGTCAACCAATAATTTGTCTTGAAAGCCGCAACAGATGCATTCCTCCCTCTGATTTTAGAATTATCATTCCCAACATCTAGCCTCACTTGTTTCTTAAGAACAAACAAACAGCAAAGCCATCCAAGTGGCACCCCTCTAAAATCATCATCCTTATTTTTCTAAATAGCTCTTCTAATTGCTACAGTGAAATTTAACGTGCCACTAAACTTCCAAAACTTCATTAGTTCATTAAAGAATACTCCAAACAAGCAACCATACCATACGGCCGTAAGGACATCCCCGTAAGGCTATTAGGATAAAGAGTGTTGAAGCATTTAACCTCACAAGGACAAGGCAGAGGATTACATTGGAACCAATTCATATCAAGGGATTGCAAATTTGGTTTTGATATGAGATTCTTCAACTCGTCACCCATAGGACTTAGAAGGTGTGTTGTACGACGTGCTTCAAAACCGGATTCCTTACTTCCGGCTGATTTTATCCCCAAACCTCCAATGCACATCAAGGCTTTAAGAGGAATCATTTGGTTTGCTTCCAAAGGACATATCTCACCTTCACCCAATCCAATAGTATTACCTTCAGTCTTAATTATAAGAACCCGTTTATAGTCTATAAATAAAGTCTTATAATTAGGACTCGATGTAGTAGATCTCAAATTTCACCATCCTTAATTTTGATCTTACCAATCCAAATCTTGGCCTCATTCATTATCCTTTCACCTTGGCTAACCTTGATGAGCCACTTAGTTGCACCATCCATAAATTTGCCTCCTTCGAATTCCTAGTTTGCATCACATTACATATTACCTTCAACATCTCTAACTCACGCGCACCAATGCATACATGCAAGACTTACTCTCTCCCAGTAGGTGCCGGGAAGAGGACACCAATGAAAATTGCTCACCTAGGGGGCTATTTAGGCTCTCACAAAGGAGAGAGTTTCACTCTCACATGAGGAGAGAATGTTTTCAACAAGCCTTTAAATGATTACTAAAGAATTAATATAATCTTTGGTCTTCAAGTTTATTTTCATTTTAGTTTTGATCTGTCAAATTTTAAATAATAGGTTTTGGTTTTTCAAAAGGCAAAATGATGCAGGTTTTTATTAAACTATAGGAACAAGTGATTTAAATAAAAAGAAACTTAAGAGACTAAAACCCATGATTTAAAACTTAAGAAACCAAAACTAAAATAAAAGTAAATTTGAGGGACTAAATATTATATTAGCCCATTACTAAAACATTCTAAACTTATGAGATAAAATCAAGTTCACATTTAAGTAAAGAGCTCACACGTAGATTACAATTTGGAAAGATTAAATTTAAACCCGACTTATAGCTTACTGTCTTCACTTGAATTCTTGACTTCCTCAAGCTTCTTCTATGATGATAACTTGCAAAACAATTTTTAAGGTTTGGAATCATCAAAATTAAATATGCTAACAAGTCACTTGTAAATGAATATTTAGTCTTAATTGCAAATTTATGATTTGGGATGGGGACCATCTCCTATTTCTGAATATCTACTTACAATTGACTTTCTATAAATTCACAATTAACTTTTCTAAAATTCACAAGTGATGATGGATAAATTCATGAGACCATCTATCTATTCACAATTGATTTGCCATGCATTCACAGTTAACTTTTCTTAAATTCAGAAGTGACCTTCATTATAGTGGTAATTTTCTAGATTTGGTAATAACTAAAAAGGGCCATTTTTTAATTGCAAATAAAACCCATAATTCTTTCATGGTATTTAAATAATTAGATGTCTTTAATTATCATTAATATCTTCACAAGGTATGTAATTATCATTTTTTTTCTCTATTTTATGTGCACCATTTTGCTCTAACGAGAAACCCAGCCATTCCTTATGATAATACAAGATCTGGAATAACACTACTCAATGGCAAGCTAGAGCAAAGTTGAAAAGAATCATGGATAATTGGCACTCTAAACAAGTGTTTTTTTAAGGGTAACTTTTTTTTTTTTTTAATGTTTGGTGATAACTTAGTATTCAGGTTAAAGATTACATTTAGTCCTTTACTTTTATGAAGAATTTAATATGGTCCCTTAACTTTAAAAAACATACATTTAGTCCTTGAATCCTGAAATTGTTAACAAAAAATAATGATATTAAGATCTTTATTGTTGATAAAACATTCTCAAATGCTAACATATTATTTAATTTTTAAAACAATAATGATTGTTATAAAAAATCATCATTTAAACCTAACAATTTTAAGATTAAAGAACTAAATATATGCTTTTAAAAATTACAAGATCAAATTAAAACACTGTACATAGTTAAAAAAAACAATTGTATACTTTAGATCGGTACTTATTATTGTTAGGTTCTGTTCCTCATATTGTTGTTAGGTTTTGAATAAGAATTTTGGTTATAATGGAAATCGATTTCTAGCTCTCAAGTTGAAGTCTTTTGGCCAAAAAATAAATAAACAAACAAATCTCTTACGTCTGGTTCAAAAATAGTTTTTTTTCCTTAGCCATTAGGTTTGGGCCTCCCTTGTAATCATTGGCATAAATAAAAAATAAAATAAAATAAAAATATTTTTGTTGGTTACATTAAAATCTTAAATATTTTACCCAAAAAAAAAAAATTTAAATAAGGCTCTTTTGTTTGTTTTTCCAATTTTTCTCAAACATAATAATTGTTCAGTATATCTACAGGCATTATAGGTTTATCACAGCTAAAAACTGTAATATAAAAATAATAAAGGGTTTATACAAATTTTTCCTGAAAATTTTTATTTAGAAGCTTTAGGTATTACGAAGTTTTTTTGATGTAAATTTGTCTTGAAAGTTTAAAATCATAACAATATTAATTCCTCACCATTAAAAAATTAATGTTAGTTATTAAAATAGCGGCGTTGACAGTTAATATTTTTAATGTAAAAAGTAATATTATTATGTATTATAAGGTTTATTAATGAGTTAATGTGTAAATTTATTCTAAAAGGTTTCATTTAAAGTGCTGGCTCATTGATTAAGTTGGAACAATTCACGGCCAGTAGATCCAAGCACTCGTTATTAATATCATATCATTAAATTTTAACTTATTAAAACTTGGTTTCTATAATTTTGAATCAATTAAAATTTAGTTCTTGAACTTCAATTTAATAGAACTATTGTTTGATTATTTAAAACACTAGTCCCTCTAAATTTAGAAAGTAACTTTAATTTATATACTTTTATTTTGTGAAATATAAGGATGAATTCAGGCAAAAAAATATAAAGATCAATATTTTGAATGACTATTAAAACTATAAAGAATCAGCTATAAATTCATGATTTTTTTTTTCTTAGCCTGAAATAAATTCATGGTTCAACAACTGACTTTTAATGAAGCAAATTTTTTTGGCCACCATTAATGAAGCAAAAATTATAGAGGATGAGTTCCAATGAATTAAAATTTGGGAATTAAATGGTTACCAAATAATTTATTTTCTAAAAAAATTGGAAAAACAAAATTACTCATGGCTAAAAGGACAAAAATATTTACGTGTCACAATCTGATAGATCACACGTGGATAGTAGCAATACTTTCATACGCTTTCCGACACAGGCAAGCATCCTGCGGTGAAGTGCACGCACCAAATGGTGCGGTACTTCACTTCACCCATTGCAAGCTTCGTCCTCATTCCAAATTTGGAGGGCCGTTGCGTCATTTCACCGCTCCACAGCACCTCCCTGCTAGTGCTCCCTCCCTCGCCTTGTTGCCAAGCTAACAGCCTCTAGCTTTCCTTTTTGCATAGCCCACATTCTCTCTCTGTATCTTTCTGTCTGCGCGTTAACGTTTGTGTAAGTTAATTGAAAGATAGAGAGAGAGAGAGAGAGTGAGAGAGCGCGCGCTTCAGAAGACGGTGGTCGGAGGTGGTAGCTTCCGCCGGTGTCGTTTTCACCAATCCTTCGTTCCTCTCTTTCTGAGTGGGAGATATGTGGTTAATATCATCCACAATTCTCAGATTGATTCTTCTCTGCATTGTTCTTCTCTGTTTCTCTACTCGTACATCGCACTCTTTGTCTCTCCTTGCGGTCGAGTCGGAGCCGGTCGTTGTCTTAGAGGTAATTAATGCAACCGCCAATGCGTCCCTTGCGAGATCCAATGAGGATAGTTTCGCTAACATGATTGATCGGGCTTTGGAGAGGGAGTTCCCCGAGAATGAGCAGAATGAAGGTTCGTAGATCTATCTTCCGTCACTTTAGGTTCAAATGCTTGTGCATTAATCTTTTCTCTTTTATGTTTTGGTCGTGGAGACTTATGGTGTCGATGTTTGAGCTAGGCTTTTGTATTTCCGAAAATGCAGTTCAATAATTGGAGTTTCACTTCTGTTTTGAATGCTTGTGTTATGATGTTTTCTTAGTAGAGTTTGAACGAATGAGTTGCGCTGTTTAACCTTGTCCTCTTTCGTTAACCAGTCTTGTTACAAAGTGTGGAGAATGATCTGATGGTTTCATTAGCAATTTGTGTGTAACCTTCAATAAACATAATTAGGTGATTTGGAACCAGTTTATAGTGGTTTTCTAAAATTAGATTCGTTGCCTTGGATGGAATACTAATGAATCATTCCCCAGTTTTGAAATTACTCGTCTTCTCTGTGTAAAACCCGTTCATTGCTTATTGGTATAATTTGCTTTAAAAGTCATTTGGGTGTGTTACTGTGACTGTCTTTTACAGATGCTGATGCTGGCAGTTTCAATAATAGTGTTGCTGGACAGCAGGTATGTAATGCTATGAGTTTATTTAATATATTTAATTCAAGTTACTTTTATTGCTTTCTGATGTACTGGATTATATTTAAAGTAAAACTGCCTGAGTGCAATTCAGTCTGGCTTTAGTGGTGTACTTTCAGTTATTACTGCTAATGTTGATAGCCTAATGCCCCAGTTTACTTTTGTGACTAGTTCAGCAAGACTAGGTCCTATAATTTCATTTCTTAAGTTATATCAGGAAAAAAATATCCATACTGGTTAGAAGAGCCTTGGGCTGATTTCTGACAGAAGCTGCATTAGATGATAATGTATATTTTAATGAGGTTTCAAAACCCATTTGAGATTGCATCTTGACTGACAAATACTGCGTGGTGAGAATTGATATGGTACTTTATGTTTGGTGCACAGATCTTTGTAATAGGGTAAAATTGTGACAACGTTCTCTGTTTTGAAGGTTATATATGTTATTATTCCATTATCTGATTCCTTCTACTCATGTATCTGATGCATCAGGCTGTGTTGGAAACTGTTGCTAGAGTTAAGTCCAAGAAAAATGAGAGCAAAGAGGAAAAGTATGTGCCATCTTCAATATCTACAGTAAAATGAATTTTCCGCTTTTCTTGGAGGCGGAAGTGGATTTGATCACAAAATTTTATTGCAATCCTAATGATTATTGTTATTTTTTTTGCCTGGAACAACCTAAAGTTTATTTCTTTATGACGTTTGGTTTGTTGTGTATCAGGTCATTTCAGTTCCATGATGTTTTCAATTTGGATAACGAGAATGGAGCAGAGGACATGCCAACATTAATAGATCGGAAGGTATGCCTTGTTCATACTCTTGGGGTTTATTTTGTTCATGATTCAAACATGAAGGGTTAATACTTAATAGTGACCATTTGGTACCATTGTCTTATCATTATACCACAACAAATGTTATATGTAATCCTCTTTTAAGTGAATTTAACTTTTTGTTTATTAAATTACTCATCTCCAGGATAATGTCTTCATTATGTCCAATCGCAAGTCCAAGTATCCTGTTCTTCAAGTAGACTTGAGGTTTACTTACAATTTCCTGTCCTTTACTTCTTCTCCCAGAGCCATTGCATATATCAACTGTACGAGCGGATACAGCTAGTTAAGTTGCTCACTTTGTTTGATCTGCTATATTTGCAGATTAATATCAGATCTTGTGGTTGTCATTGTATCTGCAACCTGTGGTGGTATTGCCTTTGCTTGTGCAGGACAGCCGGTTTGATCCTAATCCTTGCTTGATTGCTTTTCTTAAGTTATGTCTACTATATCTCGCTTATGAGTTGTGTTATCCACACTAATTATTTTTCAGGTCATGACTGGATATCTACTAGCTGGATCAATCATTGGACCCGGAGGCCTGAGTTTTGTCAGTGAAATGGTCCAAGTATGTTACCATTATAGTTCTTTTGCTGAATGTCTAAGTCTAAAGGATTTCCTTATTCCCTTTGTAGCTACCTTTGATGTTTCTTATTTTGCTATGGAGAAATTCAAAATGTTATAAAAGCCATAGGGAATGGCTTGTTGAATTGAAAATCCGATAAATCGACCTTGGTCTTGGTCCCTTTTAGACATAAAATTGGCTTTATGAAGAATGAGTCAAAGGCTGGCCAAACTAACTGAATCCCAACAAATTGGGTTAAAATAGGATGGTTTCCATAAAAGTTTGTTTGCAACTATCAACTAGGTGGACCTGGTCAAGCCACAGAAGAAACTAAGTAGCCTTCGCTTTCTACAAATTATACCCTATTTCATTAGTCCATTGAATGTACTGAGATACTCCCTTCCCCCTCCCTTTATTTTTAGAACCTCAACGTTTCTCTTTCTTTCATGCAATGTGCTGGCCTTTTGATCGAAATGGACATTCATAGCCAGATTTGGCACATTTTTTGATCACATTGTAGATGGTTATAGTGAAAGACTTGCTTTGCTTCCTCCATAGTATTTCCACATATCTCTTGTGAAACATTTTAGGTTGGGATACCAAGACCCACATCACATGCCTATGAGGTGCTTTATGTAATGTTTACATTTAAATCTATGGAGGTGGTAGGAGCGATTGAACACAAGTTGAGATTGAAAACTTACATTTTTGATAATCGATTTGGATTCATGTTAGTAATGTCTACAACAAAAACGATTTATATAAGGGGATTAATGGAAAAAGTACTAAAGCATAGGAAGAGACCTACATGTAGTTTTTATTGACTTAGAAAAAGCTTATAATCATAGACCAAGAGATGCACTTTGTAAAGCCTTGGAAAAGAAAGGTGTGTGTCACATAAATCTATACAAGATATGTATGAGGAGGTGACAGCTAGTCTAAGAAGGACTGGAGATGAGATAAAGGACTTTCATGTGAGGATTGGCAAAAATTAGGGATTATCTGTGAGACTTGACTTGTTTAACCTAGTTTTAGATATTTTAACTGAGCTTATACAAGAAGAAACCTCTAAATGCATGCTTTTTGTTGATGATATAGTTCTTATGATTGAGTCAAGAGAAGATATTGATGATGTTTGGACACTAAAATCTGAGTTTATTCCACTATAGAAGCTGATACATATAGGAGGAGAGTGATTGATCAGATCGCATAAAATCTCTCTCAAATAATACATCAAATCTAATCACAACAAATCTGGAAATAATCTTATCTGAAATCCCTAAATAAAAGGCTGAAAATAATCCTAATTAAGAGAGTATAAACAGTCATAATGAATTAGGGTTATCTATGGATTAGGCCCAATGAGAATGAGCCAACTGCTAACAAATATAAACTTTAAATTTGTGCTATGGAGAAGGACCTTGAAGTTGAAGGGTCTTGATTAAGGGTAAGATAGAACATATGCATTGCAACTTTCATAAGAGACAAGTTAGAAGTGATTTGAGATTAAAATGGGAGATCAAATTATTTAGCAAGTGACAAAATTCAGATATTTAGGATTAATCATACAAAAGAATAGTGAAATTGATGGAGATGTTATACATAGACTACAAGCTAGATGGTTCAAATAGAGAAAGGCTATCAGAGTTGTTTATGATCAGAAAGTACTTAATAAGCTTAAAGGAAAGTTTTATTGAACTACTATGAGCAATGTTTTAAAAGTCGGACCGGAAGTCGAACCGAAAAGATCAACGTGTCATGGTTTAATTGGTCGGATTGATGACACAATAATTAATTTAAAACAATAGTATATAATATAATTAATATATATGAAAAATATCAAATTATTAAATAATTTAGAAATGCATTTAAATAATCTAAAATTATAATGAAATCATTGAAAATGGACTAAAACCTTATATATTGAAATTTATGTATGTTTAAAATATTTAATAATATTAAAAATTATTAATTCATTCAAATCAAAACATTGTTTTAAAAGATAGACCAGACATCGAAACAAAAAAGCTAAGGATTCACGGTTTTAATACCACAATATATGAAATTTTCAACGAAATAATACTATATGGGTATAAATAGTCTAAAAATATATTAGGACATTTGAGGGGGTCCATTTTTTTTATTTTTCTTCTTCTTTTTTTTTTTTTAATTTTTTAGCATTTTTTCAGTTAAGCTAAAAAACCGTCCATTTTTCTGAAAACCGTTCCGGTTTTCGGTCCAACTCTGGGTTCCAGCTTAATGATGGCTCAACTCTGGTCCAATCTGGCTCAACCATGTGAACGTTTTTTTGATCCAAACCAACCCGTTGACGAGTCCGGATGATGGTTCAAGCCGTCTGATCGTCCAGCCCTGTTTGGTTCTTTAACTATTGACTATAAGACCAACAATGTTATATGGTAATAAATGTTGAGTTTTGAAAGGACAATAAAGGCGTAAATTTGGAGTAGCAGCAATGAGCATGTTAAGATGGGTATGTCGTTATACAAGAAAAGGTAAGATTCATAATGAATATATATAAGGAAGAGTCGGCATGGCATCTATTGGAGAGAAAATGTTAGAAAATATTTTGAGGTGGTTCAGAAATGGACAAAGAAGGTTATTAGAGGCATTAGTGAGGAAGGTAAATTAATAAATATGGAGTTATTTGGAAAGGGTAGAGGAAGGCCAAAAATAATACTCAAGCATTTATTGAATAGGACTTTATGATTAATGATATACTCCTTTGGTCCTTAATATAAAACCCATTTAACTAATTTGATTAGATTAAGGAAGTTAGGTAAGTTAGTTAATTTATAAGTTTTTCCTAAAATACATAATTATCTTTCTTAATACCCCATCTTCCTCTTCTACTTGATTATGGTTGAGAGAGTATCCATAGGGGTAATTTAGAGAAAATTGATTAATATGAGAAATGGGTATTATATTTAGGACTAAAACCAACTCAACAATTGGGTCTTATATTAAGGACCGGATGAGTATTTAAAGATTTAGTTGTTGATAGAGCACAAGCATTGTATGATCCATGCAGCCTACCTCTTCTAGTGGTATAAGGATTGTTGTTGTTTTTTGGGTGGAAATCAATATATTAATTATTATCAATATGCCTTTATGTAAATAGCCAGACCTAGGATTCGATTTTCTATGCTCTGATTTCTAGCCCGCACTGCACATCAATGATTAATGTATATTGTGTATGCATTCAATCTTCATCACGTGAACTATTCGGATCTCCACACACAGTTTTTATTATAAATAATAGTGATAAAATAAAAAGCGAAAGGGGTAGAACTTTTTTATTTTTCAATAAACATCTTGTATAACAACAACTGTAACAATGAGCCTTATCTCACTAAGTGAGGTTGGTTACACGGATTAATGATGCCATTGTGCTCTATCAATAATCAAATCCTTTGGTAAGTTGTTAATCAAAAGGTCCCATTTAATGACTTAATTGAGCATTTTCAAACATCATATATAAATCTTGCAAAAACATATACACAATTTGTAGTTAAGAATTGTATGATCAAAATTTATTTCTTGTGTTTTTATTTTTTGTTTTCGTTCTTTTTTTTAATCCAAAATTATCAATATAACATCAAAATACATTAGTTTGATTACGGCCATTTTAATCACAGGTTGACCACGGTCAGGTTAGTGAACCTTAAACCAATTTCCATATTGGTTTACGACTAGTCTGGCTTTAAAGACAGTTGTTTGCAAATTGCTGATGAGATCATGATGTCATCAAATTGTTCTCTTTTACTTTCTTCTATTCTTACAATGTGAAAATATAATATCTTGATCTATGATATATTTATTAAGTGATGGACTGAAAAAGAATCAAATATATCACTGAGTATCTAAAATACTAAACCCATTCCACGCAGGTTGAGACTGTGGCTCAATTTGGAGTCATATTTTTGCTTTTTGCATTGGGCCTAGAGTTTTCCACCACAAAGGTTCGTTTGCATGCTCCTCTTGCTTTTAGTCTGAATTTTTTTTTTTTTTTTTATAACATCTTTGATTTGTTTATAAACATGTCTTTTTCATGTTTGCAGCTTAGAATTGTACGAGCAGTGGCTATTCTTGGAGGTCTTATCCAAATTTTCTTATTTATGTGTTTGTGTGGAATAACAGCCCTGGTATGATTGACATTTTGATGAATATTATTCAGAAAGTATAACTTATCATTACATCTGCATTGCTGGTCTGCCATGGATTTCAATTTCTTTATAATCATAATCATATGATTTATCTTCTTCTTTTTTCTTGTTTGTATATTATGGCAGCACATTAACTTTGAGTTTTTGTTTTATTTCCTTTTTCGCTTCCCCCTTTTGTGCTTTTAAAGTTCTGAAAAGTTACTATTATCTCTATGGAGCAGATGACTTAAAGCATTTTTTGCATGTGAGAAAAATGAATCTGGTTACTAAGCCCATGTGAATATGTTGCCAATACTAAGCTAAATCCTGGCATGCCAATAATTCTTGGGTTGATGATTCTCAAGCCTCTCCGTATAAAGCCTATGGTGAAGATAACAATTGCTTCATAGCAATTTCTTACGCTACTTTTCCTTGCATCAATTATGAGTGTTCAGTAAAGAATGATTGATTGATATCATGCTGAGCGCCTGACACCTCAATGTTGATGTGCGTCATTTCACTGTCTATGTCAACTTTATCCTACCCTAAATTTTTTCTTTTCATCCTTGGAAATTGTTTTATGTGATTGGATTACTATATTTACGTGAAAGCATTTACACTAGCCTGTGTTGTATTTTTCTGATTAAATATTAGAGTTCTGCAGTATCTACAGAGTTTCATGCTGTGGTAGATCTGATTATCAAAGATACATGACCTTTAGGACAAGCTTGGATATTTTAGGCATTTTATGGTTCTGGTTTTTACAATAGTTGGTTATCTGTTGCAGCTGAGACTGAAAATTGAATGAAACAATGCATAAATTTATTCATTAGTTCATTACAAATCTTCTCCACTTTAGCAGAAGTGAATTTCTGACATATGCGGCTACCTTCCTGCAGTTATGCGGTGGTAAATCTTCTGAGGGAATATTTGTTGGTGCATTTCTCTCTATGTCTTCAACAGCAGTGGTAACTATCAGAGTCCAGACATTACTGCATAGTTTCTGCTTTTTTCTTTCAAGATTATAAATGTGAAGTATACTTGTACAATTTATTGTACGGAATTCTTTTTGCAATATTACTCCACACATGCAAGCATTGTAACCTATGCCAATAATAATTTTGATATACTACCTGAATCGTTGCTAACGGTGCCTGAAATAGAGATGATGGTGATTCATCTTTGGATTTTCTATTGAGCCGTCTCCTTGTCTTGGCTTAGTTGGGTGGACAATGGAATACTTGAGAAATGAGGCATAAAATAAGATTGAGACAATTCAAGTCCGAAGAATTTTGGCATACTATTTGTTGTAAGTTGAGGGATGAATAAGGGGAGGGAAAAGGTGAAAGAGGGAGAGAAAAATAAATATTACGGGAGAAAAAGATAATGAGAGAAAGTGGTGTGTTTGATGGCAAAATTCTCCTTGGCAATTTGATAATGTTTCTTTGATCGCATTTATGCTTGTTATTATTTCTTCTAATTTATATTTATTTTTTTAATTACATTAATGACATGTTACGAAAATGTAATATTATAGCTTGTGTTTTCTGGTTTGACCTATAGGTCTTGAAATTCTTAATGGAAAGAAGTAGTGTCAATGCCCTTCATGGCCAGGTTACAATTGGAACTCTGATTCTGCAGGTATGTGCTATTATTAGGATAAATCAAGTGTAAAGAATGAATTGTTGCTATCAACTCTTGTGTAGAAAAGTGTAAAGACTAATTAATCATAGCAAAGATATTCCGTATTTGGATTTTCTTTCCTATATATCTTATAATGCATATTCAAATCTTTTGGCTCCTCCAGGATTGCGCTGTTGGTTTGCTCTTTGCATTGCTTCCAGTCTTGGGTGGTACATCAGGCATTCTTCAGGGAGTAATATCCATGACTAAATCGTAAGTAACTAATACAGTGAAGTGTCCCATATATAGGAATTCCATCCATCCACTTGCTTCTGTCCTTTATTTCTTGTTACTAACTGATGTTGTTTCAGGTTGGTGGTTTTAATGCTATTTTTGGCCCTTTTATCAGTATTGTCACGCACTTGTGTACCATGGTTCCTGAAGCTTATGATAAGGTTATCATCTCAGGTGAAGATAGGCCTTGTGCTTTGTTGTAACATGTCGGGTTTTGGTTATGTATTTTTTAACTTGCTCTTTCTATGCGCAGACCAATGAACTCTATCAACTGGCATCAGTGGCATTCTGCCTTCTTGTTGCCTGGGTTTGTCTACTCCCAACTTTTCTCTTTTTTCCCAATTACTTGGTATTGGTACCAGTTCAGATTCTCATTACATAGTAGTGATTTTCTGTCCTATTTTTTGCGTTGGAAAGTTTCCTTAGTCATGGTGAAGAGGACATTTTGTGCTTTTCCTTTTTGGTGTATGAAGGCTGCCGTCTGCTTTCCCTATTTACTGTTTACATCTGAGAGATTACTTAAATGCAACCCATGCCATCACATATAAGTACACGCATTTATGAACACCCAACAACTTATGTCGTATAATTTGTTGTCTCATTTCAGTGTAGCGATAAGTTGGGGTTAAGTCTTGAATTGGGTTCCTTTGCTGCGGGAGTGATGATATCAACAACAGATCTCGGTCAACACACTCTTGAACAGGTAACATTTATCTAGCTTGTTTTAATCTCTGGATTGGATGTTTCCCGGAGATCTTGAAGAAACTAGTTTATCTTAATTTAATTTAAATTCTGCCTTTTCCTCTTGATGATCATAATATTTATAGCTTTTAAGTTGGGTTCGGGGGGATATCAGTTGCACAGTGGTTGTCCTGAGCATGTGACGGATGTTCAGGGATAGTTTATTTTACACTGCCTTGTCTATATTTGACCATATATGCCACTGTGTCAGTCTTAGCCGAGGTGATCTGATGGAGGTTTCTCACTGGCTTAAGGCCATGTTCTTCCTTTTCTATATTGAACTTGAAATTAGCTATTTTGGTTAACAATAATGTGTAATGATGCAGAATGATCTAACGACAACAACAACAAGTCTTATTCTACTAGGTGGGGTCGGTTATATAAATCGCACGACACCATTGTGCTCTATCAACCAAGTCTCTAGATATATTGTTAACCAAAAGATCTCGTTCAAGGACCTCATTGAGCGTTCTTCTCGGTCTTCCTTGGTCTCTTTTTATAGAACTTCAAACTGTCTGATCTACCCTTCTCACTGGGGCTTTTAATGGCCTTCTCTGCATATGTCCGAATCACCTCAAGCGATGTTCAACCATTTTCTCTTTGATAGGCACCACATCTACTCTTGTTCTGATATTTTCATTTTGAACCTTATCTTTTCTTGTATGGCCACAAATCTATCTTAACATCCTCATTTCTGCTACCCTAACTCTATGCTTTTATTTTCTCTTTATCGCCTAATATTCACTATTATACAACATAGCTTGTCTTATAACAGTCCAATAAAATTTTCCCTTAGCTTTCTCAGGTATCTTCTTATCGCAAATAACTTCGGTAGCCTTCCTTCATTTTAACCAACCAGCTTGAATTCTATGAGAAACGTCTCTATCAATTTCCCCCTTCTCATGTATAATGGATCTTAGATATTTGAACTTTGACACTTGAGAAATGATTTGATTTCCTATCATTACCTTTAAATCACCATTGCCTTGTCTCCCCCAAAAATTGCAATGCATATATTCTATTTTGCTCCTGCTTAAATAAAAACCTTTTGACTCCAAGATCCTTCTTCATAACTCCAATCTAAAGTTAATCTCTTTTTTTGATTCAACTACGAAGACTATGTCATCCGTAAAAAGCATGTACTTGGGGATTTTTTTTAATTAGGCTCAGTTAGAACGTCTAGAACAGAATCAAACAAGTAAGGACTCAAAGAAGATCCCTGATGTAGGCCAGTCTTAATGGGAAAGTCCTTTGTCTTACCTTCACGCATTTTTACACTAGTAGTTACCCCCTCATACATATTTTGTATGGCTTTGATATAAGTCATCCGTACACCTTTCTTTTCCAAAGCCTTCCAAAGTATGGCACCCGATCATAAACTTTTTCCAAGTCAATAAAAACCATATGTAAATTCTTTCCTTTACTTCTATATCTTTCCATTAACTTTTTTAGTAAATAAATTGCTTTTGTTGTGGATCTTCCGGCATAAAAGTTTGAAATTTTATTATAAAGCTCAGAGAGAAACTTGAGTGTATATTTTATGGATGTTCAGGTATAGATTATTTTCTTAACACTGCCTTGTGTTGACCATATGTGCCACTATGTCAGTCTTAGCCGAGGTGATCTGATGCAGGTTTCTCGCTGTCTTAAGGCCATGTTCTTCCTTTTCTATATTGAACTTGAAATATGCTAGTTATTTCGGTTGACAATAATGTATAATGATGCACAACAATCTCAAGTTGAATTTATTATGAAGCTCAGGAAGAAACTTGAGTGTATATTTTATATGCTTGTTTGAAAACTTTGTGAGTTTGTTGATTTTTAGGTTGAGCCAATTCGCAACTTTTTTGCTGCTCTGTTCTTGGCCAGCATTGGAATGCTTATACATGTCCATTTCCTTTGGAATCATGTTGATATTTTACTGGCAGCTGTTATATTGGTGATCATTGTAAAAACTATAGTAGCTGCTTCTGTTGTTAAAGGATTTGGATATGGCAACAAGACTTCAATTCTTGTAAGATTCAACAAAAACTGTTCCCTCGGTAATATCTTCTTGATTACGCCATACATTTCATTGACAGAGGAACCTTAGGTTATTCCACATTCGTAGGTTGGGATGTCATTGGCACAAATTGGGGAATTTGCTTTTGTTCTTCTCAGTCGTGCCTCAAACCTTCATTTAGTTGAGGTGAGTTCGCTTCATTTAGACATGGATATTTTGGATTGGATGCACCGGTTTGAGAATATAAGGCTGTCTTCCCAATAATTTATCAGCTTTTATTCCACCCCCCCCCCCTCCAATTACTTACCTCAATTCTGGGTCAGCTAGATGTATATTTTTGTTGTGGAGAGTCAATAAAATTTATTCATGTTGCTGCGTACAATTGCTACTCAAGTAGATAGCATATTTTTGTCACCATAAAATTTAATTGCTATTTCTTACAATGGATTTGAAATCTGAAAATATTGTTTGCTTTCTGCGTTACCTTCTGCCTACTTAAACCAAAGTTGATGTACTGAATTATACTGCAGGGAAAATTATATCTATTGCTCCTTGGAACAACAGCTCTCAGTCTGGTATTGTTGCTTGCAATATATGCATCAATGGTTTCACCTATATGATACGATTTACAGTCTTGGCACATTATTTTTACCTCTATGCAAACTATTGCCGGTTAAACTCTGGGTCTTAATATATTTTACCTCTATTCCTAATTATAAGACCTCATTTTTTAACTATAAATGAGGTCTTATAATTAGAACTGAAGGTAGTATTCAAAGTTCTTGTGCATTTATCATTTTGATTGTGAAAGTTCAACACATATGGCATGCCTACATGATGATTTGTGGATATTCGAAGCTCATGCAAACATAAAAATGGCGCAGGTGACAACACCATTGCTTTTCAAGCTCATTCCTGCTGTTGTGCATCTTGGAGTGTTGTTACGATGGTTCCCTCCTGATGGTCCAATTGAGGTAACTTATCTTAAAAAGATTTTTTGAATGCATGACAATTTAGGTTAAGTTGCTTATATTCATTAGATCAAGTTGTTTAATCACAGTTGTTATTTTGTTATTGTTAATTGTTAAAATGCATATGTGCTTTTTTTTTAAATTTACCTATGAGCTTGACCTAATGAATATAAGTATTATTGTCAAACTCGCGAGTTAATTTTCCAAATTTAATGTTTTTACGTTTTTAGTTTGCAAAATGTGTTGATTCGTTCTTAAACTCTCGTAAGCTATAAACTTGGTTGAATTTGCGAGTTTACTTACCAAGTTTACCGTTTTTATATTTTTAACTTGTGAAACCATGTCAACTCGCTTTTAAACTTGTACTAAATTTTTTGATTTAATTATATTTAGTGACTTTTTATATAAATTTCATAAAAATTTATTTGTTAAATGTGGTGAATTATGAATGTTAATGGATTTAATTTCAATTATTTGGATTTAAAAGATATTTAAATGAAATTGTTGTCATTTTTTATATTCTAATTATTTAATTATATACTTTAATACTAATTTATTAATATACATAAGCTTTTATGAGTTTACGATATAAACTTATAAGCAATATGACTTAAGTTTTGTCCTACACACACACATGCATGTATCTGTATATTTTTCTTCATAGTCTTCATTTTCATTATGACTGGCCTCCCAGATTGCATATAAAGGGGATAGCTTTCGTTCAGACAGCGGTAAGCGCATTACTCTGATAGTTCAAGGCGCTCATGATTCATGATAGTTGAAAGAAATACAACCCCAGAAGAATATTCGATACGTGGCATTTACCTAATGGAGTGAAAGGCCCAGAAAGTGCAGAGAAAGTTGAGTATATAACGTTTATACGTATTCAAATTGCTAAAGCACTTCCCATGCTTGCCTGCGTCCGAAACCACACTCTGTAATGGAAACGGCAAATATTCAAAAATACAAAACTCAGATGGAGTGGCCAGGCGCTTGAGCGTTGATATTCCCCATACCTAACCAAATTTGGGCCGTCTTATTATTAGCCAGAACGGCCTAATTTTTTTGTAAAGTAATATGCTTTTTGTAATGTAATTCATTCCAATATATATGCATTCTTTTCATTTCGGTTTTTTGGTTTCTATGTAATATAAATTGCAACTGTATAAGTCTCAATCCAATCAGGCCAAGAAAAGGAAAAAAAAAATCCCAATCAAGTTGGCCATCAAACTCTTTTCAAGTATAATATTCATTAGCGATTAACCGGTAGAAAGAAATTTGATTGTCTTTATTGATTCACAGTGTAGAATGATGTGCTGTGGTTGAAAAACTATCAAGAATTGTCTAATACCAATAATGATTTTGAAAACGATTCTCTTCAACCATTGTGACAGGGTGATTTGTTTTTCCGAGTTGGTGGGTTAACTTTGACTCGTCTTATGCATTATCATATCATACAATTCATCATTTGCTTTCGATGGATTTGGTGTTGCTAGAATGATATACCATCTTCACTTGAATGAATGGTCATCTTATACAGAGGTTTTAAATTGAAATGAAATACTTTTCTATGTCTGTTTATATGTTGTTTGTTTCACTTGAACTAAAAAAATTTTCAACTTCAGGTAACTTTGCCTTCGAATGTAATAATTTTCTAATTTTACTCCAATTTAATTAAGATATTACACTTTTCAAGATAATGCTCTAACAATTTATACAATAATAAATGAAGGATACCATAATATTCTTGTTGAAAATTTAATGATGTCACTCATAAATAAGACCAAGTAAAACTTTGAAAAAAATTACAAATAAAGACCCCTCAATATGTAAAATTGTAATTTGGAACTCTAAATTTGAAAAATAACAAATAAAGATCGGGTCTCACTTTTGCAAATATGAAATATGGGTAAAATATTTAAAATGTTCTTCAGTCAAATTGTGATTTGATCTACTGAAGTTGTCATTCTCTAAATTGAACTTGTCATTTTCTATAGCCAACTCGTCATTTAGTATACTCTCAGCCAAGTTTTGATTTGGTCTATTAAAGTTGTCATTTGTTATAATGAACTTGTCATTTCCCATATTCAACTTATCATTTGGCTGATGGGCATTTCAGACATTTTATCATGATTTCATATTTGTAAAAGTAGAACCGGGTCTTTATTTGTTATTTTTCAAATTCAGGATCCCAAATCATAATTTTACATGTTGGGGTTTTTATTTGTAATTTTTCCAAAACTTTCTCATGTTTTATACACAATAAAACCTTCTCTTTTTGTCCTATAATAAGGACATGATGAGTATATGGATAACTTTAAAACCATTGTTACCACACATTAGCTAGCTATCCTTTTCTTATCTTCCGAATATCCATTAGATGCAGGTTTTATTGAAATTTTTTTGACCAAAAACAGTTCTTTTCTTTTTTTTTTTCCTTTGAAATTCTCGTACATGCCATTAAAAGGACATAATGAAGTGTTCAATGGACTGTTCATTACCTGGTTCTAGATGACATTGACAGGCGAACCAACCAGAATAAAGGCGTCTGAGGGTTCTTTATTAGCTCCCCTGCAATGCCATGGTCTCCACATGTCCTCTGCGTCAAAGGCCCCATTTGGTACAAATAATGTCATGTTATTGCACCAAATTTATCGTCTTCACATGTGCTTTGCATATCGTGCCTTAGACCCATGGCCTTTTCTGAATAAATATTTTAACAAATTACTAAGTCACTGGTTTCTTACAACAAATATGTGATGTTTGACGATAATTGATTATTCTTACGTTCCTTTATTCTAAAAAATAACAAAAAAGACACATGATTTTATATAAACAAAATTTTTTTATCATTTTATTTGTTCTCATTTCATGTATAAAAAAACTATGAGAATTAATTTTCTTTCACGGTTTAAAACAGAAAACAAATAGGACCTGTTGGTTCAGATCAGAAACTAGTGAACAAGCCTTTAGCCTTATTTGGTTTAGTGCATAAACCAATGCAATTATAAGTCAGTCAATCCGTTGGGTTGGCTGGGTTGGTTGGTTTTTTCCCCTAGTGTAGATGGGGCAAAATGATGCCCTTTTACTATTAATTTTAGCAATTGAAAAATTGTAAAAATGAATATCTTTTAATATTGTTATATTTTGTTATTGTTATAAGCAAACTATTATTGTATTTTCTTATATTTTGTTATCTGTAATTATTAATATTATTGTATTTTGTTATTATCAATTAAATTATATTATTTTAATATAATCGATCTAATCCCAAGTTGATCCTAACGGTCTAACCTACATCAGTTCATGGTCCAGCCTGATTTTTAGTAACTTGCTTTCACAACAAGTCAAGAACTTACTTAGAATCTTGCTAGTAGGTTTTAACCAGATTTAGAGCGACAATGCGCTTGATCCCCTCCTTCAAAGCCATTTATTTTAATGATTGATATGAAATATTGTTACCACAGCACTCTCTGTACTGATTATATGCATTAGAATGTTGTTGTCTGTATAGAATGATACCATATGACTCCCCCACATACACAAAAAAGCCACATGCTGCCAAGAAATATATAAGAAAAGAAAAGCGAAAGGAGAAAAGAAAAAGAGAAAAAGACTATTTGGCAGGAATATGATGATAGAGGGTGTTTGATCAGATGATTGCAACAAGACAATCAAATTTGTAAATTGAAGATATGGGACCAGATTAAGTCTGCCTCAAGAAAACAAAATGTAATCTTCCACGAAATTCATGTGAATCTTAGTGTTGTAAAAAAGTCCAAAACATTAATTGGACCACTCCTTTATTTATAGCTCTTTTTTCTTTTTTGCAGGACACTTGGTTGGTTGAAACTTCACCATATCTTGGAAGTGTTGATAATAATATTAAGTGATGACACGCTAATCATGGTGTGTTACTCCGCAAACAAAGGCAATCAATCCTGCAATTCTAGAGCCACTGTAACAACCATAAATAAAGTTGTTCAAATCTTTTGTTCTATTGAAATTATTAATTTATCATAGAGTTAATATTATTATTAGTTCTTATAATTTGATTTAATTTTGATTTTAATCCTTATATTTTAAAATTTTGGTTTTTGAATCCTATAATCTTATAAGAACTTGACTTGAATTTAATAATGTTAACTTTAAGTTGATTAAAAGTGTAGAGACTAAAATCAAAACTCGTTAAAGGTATAAAAAAAAAGAGTTAGATAAGTTTTGTGCATATATTTAATTTGTTGATTCTATGTAATTCCTCCTATCAAGTTTGTGGCTTTCTTGTTAGAGTTTTGGTGATGTTTCTGCACTGACTAAAGTCTGCCCCTGCCCCACATTAAAATCTCGTGACAACCTGTACATATGCTAGAAAATAAAGGTATATACATCATTAATTATTGAAGCAAATATAATTATTATATCATTTATTCCTATATTTTCATTAGTGTATTTATAGTGCCCTCTACAACTAGCTAACAACGTAGATTTTGGGTACTGCATGATGAAATTTTTGAAGGACATAATTATACAAAGCCCCACATAATTCCTGTTTCCTGACAATGTATATATGTCTCCAAGCTTCACTTATATATTTTAACTAAATTTAAATATCTGACTTGATTTTTGCATCTTTAAAAAAGAGATATTTGACTTGATTTTGTTGTGGTGCTTTTTCTTTTCTACTATGCATGGGTATTGTTTTATTAGAGGCAATTTTATTTAAGACATTGTCAGGCATTAGATATGAGCATCTCTCCAGTGAATATTCAAACTTTAGTTCACGTTGTTGTGAAAAACTAGTCATTTCCGCTAGATCGACACCTATTAGTTTGTTGTGCTGTGTGCTTTTGCACGTAGTATTTTGAGGAGACATATAAGTCCTTGAAAAAAATTTGCTATGAGTGTTATCCAGTATTGGGTGATGCAAAATACATAAACACATTAATGAGTTACTACTAATGTAATTAGGCAGTTAAGTTGTTTAGGATTATAGCTCTGGCCTTTTAGAGATAGTTGACCAATTTTAGTATTTGGTTTTATTTTGGCCACTTAGTTTAGGTACTTAGATCCTTTAGGTTTTGGATTGGATATATAATTTGAAAATGATATTGTACATTGTAAGAATTTGGATTTGGCTTAGTGTTATATCAATTTTTTATGTAATTGTAATTGTGGTTCTAGTTTAGCTGCTAAAATTGTTAGCTTTGATTTCCTGCCAAGCAGCCCTCCTATATTCTTTTTTTAAAAAAAGGCATATATGCATTATTTGATATTAAAAATGTTAAATTATTCAAAGGAGCACAAATGCCTCACTTAAATTAGAACCTTATTATTTGATATTTTTCTTATTTGACCATCAAGGAAATTCTGACCTAAAAAAAAGGCTGAAATATATTTTTAATCTTTTATACAATGTTTCAATTTAGTTGCTTAATTGTAAAAATTATATTTCTAGTTCTTTAACTCTAAAACCATGAGCAAGAAATAATGACATTGAAATCTTGAATATTAATAAAATATTTTTAAATACCGACATATAAAGTTTAATTTTCAAAACAACCATGATTATTACAATAATAAAGACATAAATTATTTCAAGATTAAAAGACTAAACCGAAACATTATATAAAGTTAAAAAATCAGACATATGATTATACAAAAAAAAAATCAAGCAGATCAACATACTTGACGGTGAGGCCAATACAGTATCAATCCCTGCCAACATTTGTATCTTATTATTTGACGCTTTAAATATTTAACCATCAAATAAATCACCTTTTATTATATTATATTATTTGACGATTAAAAATCACTAAGTCTATGATGCTTGAATACTTTGGCAACCACCAGGTAAGCGTAAAAATACAAGATGATATTTTTGGAAAATAAAAATATTATTGAAAATTAAATGATATGGGATATATATATATATATATATATATATAATCACATACATATATATATGTAGAGAGAGAGGAGCATGGGGAGAATGGTTCAAAAATCTCATCAACAAGGCGGCGTCGGCTTTCACTTATTCGTACACAAGAAACATGCATGCCCAAAAAGCATCATTTTCCTTTTACTTTCTTTCCAGCTTCGAAAACAGGACATTATACGACAACCGAGTTCAATTATACATATGCTGCCCATCGACTCATTGATTCGTAATACAATAATTTTTCTAAATTCACGCAAAAACATATAATTTCTTATAAATAAGTCATGAGGAAATGATACTTTTGACATAATTTAATAAAATATTCACATGAACTACTACCAAAATATTT